CCAAACTAATAAAATAGGCCAGTATAACTATTCTTCATTTATTAAAGCTGGATTATGATACACCTGGGTACAAATAGCATTGTTGACTATAGACACCCGGGTACAAATAGCATTGTTGACTATAGACACCCGGGTGCAAATAGCATTGTTGACTATGGACACCTGGGTACAAATAGCATTGTTGACTATGGAGACCCGGGTACAAATAGCATTGTTGACTATGGAAACCTGGGTACAAATAGCATTGTTGACTATGGACACCAGGGTACAAATAGCATTGTTGACTATAGACTCCTGGGTACAAATAGCATTGTTGACTATAGACTCCTGGGTACAAATAGGATCTGCCCTAATTATTGTCATTTTTGCAAAACAGGGTTGATTGAAGGAAATTGCCTTTCACTAACAAGTATGTAATAAAAAATACTGTTGTTTTGCTCCTTTTTTGTTTTGTTATTCTGACAGTGTTTTAGTGTGTAGAGGCTGCACTGCATTGTTCAGTGTTGAAGCATGACGGATAACACTGAGCTGTTTATTTCTGTGCTCTCACACTGTTCACATTTCAGGTCTGTCAGCAGACACATTTTAACCAAATTCTTTGACATCATTCTTGTTCACACAAATAATGACTGAAACTCACCACCAGTCAGTGATGAAGATTTCCTCTTTAGCCTCTTCCAAAGCATCAGCCACATCCTCCATGTAATTCCTTCCATTCACATACCTTTAAATAAATAAATAAATGAGAGTAAAAACTGATTTCACTGCCACGAGCGCTCGTGTTGATAGTACACACCCACACATGCAAAAACTTCCCTATTTTTGTTAACCTTTCAAGCTCAAGGCAACACCCACAACTGTCTCATCACGACATAAGTGCTCTTTAACACTTTTTTTTCCCATTAGCTCACAGGCCCACAGCATGTTTTTCTCTCAGGCTCTGTGCTGAGTACAAAGACTACGTAAGGACATTATCACACAGATGATTCAATATCACAGGATCTGCCAGTTGAGGGGGAGAAAATGCAAAAAAAGACCTGAATTCTTATTTTTCTAATATATTTCCATAGTTACCAGTGAAAGGATAAGAGAGGAAGGCATTGACAAAATGTGGGTATTTTAAGTTGTATGCATTTCACTATGCAGCTTGTTTTTAGAGAACATGATCACATCTACAAACAATCTTTGAAATGGTATATTATCGTATCAAAGTTTTTAAAATGTAGGATGCTACACAGGATTGTAAAAACGAAACAAATGGGGATTTCGCAGATAATGTACATTGTTTTTTTTGTTGGTATTTTTGTAAGTCTGTCCACATGTTCAACCAGCTGAGCTCTCTCTCAGTGTAGTTACCATTTGGCAGCGATGTTTTCCTGTTCCTGTGCAAAAGACCCGCAGCGGTGGTCTCTGAGGAAAGCCTTCCCATGATTCTTCACGAAGCTATCGATGCTCTGACCCCACCAGCTTGCATGTCTGTAGCTGCTGCACTTAAACACCAAGGTCCTGCCAGGAAGATGTGCACAGGAACAAACACAGACACAATGAAGCACATGCATGCGTTCAGTCAGACGTGTAGTTATTTAATTTGTACTCCAGACAAAAAATGTGGCAAAAGTTTCATTTTTTTTTTTGGTTTAACAAACTGCTGATTCTTAAAGCAGTCATTGTGTTTTTCTGTGATGAGATAACATAGCTCAGTAATCACTCCCAAAACCAAATAAGCCCTGGATTAGGAGTGTTGGAATGAAAAGGAGCTCAAAACCACTCTGTTACAGCATACTGTTGACAGCAGATTAAAGCTGTGATTTATAAACCTCTTGGTAATTTTTCATTAAATTCTTGGAACACTGGTTCAGTTATGAAGTGCTAACAATCTTTTAGCAATCTAGAATGACCTAGTATTGCTATGTGGTTGTCATGCAGCATTGTGAAATCAGCAACAAAATGCAATAAGACTCTTAATATCCATTCTTTAAAAATGCTGCACCCCACCTAGACCAATCTCTGGACTGTCGGAAGAGTATTTATTTGACTGTAGGATACACTGACTGTTTGGAACACATTTTAACACCACAAATTGATTGAAGGGAGGACTTTCTTTTTCAAAAAACAGTCTCATAATTCACTTTGAGTCTTAAAGGTCCCCTAGTATACTGTTTTTCATCAATATATTATAGGTCTCAGATATAAACAAAACATGTCTCTGAAGTGTTTGGCTCCAAAGACCAAACAGATCATCGCAGCGTCCNTGAGTCTAATGTACAACTTGCGAATGTTGTATAAGTCAAATTGCCAATTGCCATATTAAAACATCAGCTGCAATTCACGACATGAACAGAGACTGACTTCTTCATGTCGTGAATTGCAGCTGATGTTTTAATATGGCAATTGGCAATTTGACTTATACAACATTCGCAAGTTGTACATTAGACTCATACAATAACCCACCTTCGAATGATGCTCTAGTTTCTTCATGTTTTTTTTTTTCCCTCTCTGGACTGAAACTGTCTTTTCACCGACATCTCTTCACCTGCACTAGTGGCCGTATCAAAGCCGTGATTGGTCAGATGTCGATTAGTTGCAACAGTGTCGGGTTACAGACGTGCTCCCCTTGTCACCTCTCACTCTCGCGGGGGCAGCGGAGAACTGAGCGGAGAACTGCGCACAGCAGCTGAGGCCCTCTGGGCGGGGCCCCCTGCGCAAGGCGGAGCTCCATGCAGCCTGCGTGATTGGCCCGTAGGGAGGGGCGGCCATGTATAATCCACTCCTCCTCTCCTCACCACGCAACGTCTAGTATTGTCACTAACACACAGAATAGAATAGCCTCTGGTGCGACCTTTGGGGTTTTAGCCTTTCCAGATGATTCACATGCACAGAAACCTATATAAAGGCACGGACACACCAGGCCGATTATCGGCGTTGGTGGGCGTCAGGCCGACGATGAGCGCCGACACGCCCTACTCAGATTTGTGTGTCCCGCACCGACGGGTCTTTTCAGCCGGGCCGACGCCTGTTGAATCGGCGGGCAGTCGGCCAAAGGCAGTCGGCAAAATAAATCACTCTGATTGGCTGTTCAGCTAGCGAATCAGTGCATGAGAAGCGAAACGGAAGCGAGGGACCCAAACAAACTAAGAGTTGAGATTTTATTCAACTCCAGTTCTCGACACAGGTTCGGGAAAGCCCCATGAGCTTCTCGCTGTAGAGTGAAAATGGAACGCACACGCTATTTGTTGTTTGTTTATATCACGCAGTCTGTTCTTCTTCTTCTCTCGGTGTATCACACAGTCTGTCTTCCGGTTGTTGCCTCTTTTGAATGACGAATACACACTACCGCCACCTGCTGGTAAGGAGAGTTATTGCCACTCACGCATGCGCAGTTTGAACGTGCTTCTTGGCCGTCGGCTGAAGTCTTTACTCTGGGTTTATCACTGATCCAGATGTGAACGGATGCACTTGTTAAATGTTAACCCGGGGATATCACAGGCCAGTGTTAAACCTGGGTTAGCTCTGCCTGCTTTTGTTCTAGCCCTCAATAATCCCTGCAATTTCCTCACAGCAGCTCAGTGCTGAAGCTTTGAAAGTGAATACAGAATACAGAAGGGGGTCTCAGAGGGGCGTCGAGAGGCACGGTGCTCATGCCAATGTTCATTTATACTTTATTTTATTCTGGCTACACAGATCACTCTTTGACCTCTCAGGAAGAGTCCTCACAAACTGACAATACTAGGCATTATTATGGGAAGATTTTGCGTCAAAACGTGACTAATTTTGATGTTTTTAAGAGTTCTTATGATGCTCAATCTGTTCTGAGTCAAGCTAAACATGACTCCGTGCTAACAGAGACGATTAGTGACGCAGCGGTTTGAAGTGGACGTTTAGTGTGAAACCCACCCCGTGACTCATGGCTTTGTTTGTGCCAAAAACAGCACAGCTAGTGAAACCTAAATGTTTCAGATTGTATTGGTAAATACAACAGTTTGAGTGGTGACATATACTCCGTATTCACATTCCTTACAATAGAGCAGGAATCGTATTGTGAATATGGATGCATTATTTTGTTCATTTGGAAAGTTTGTAGTGTGTAATGTGCACAAAGCCAGATCTCTTTCTGTTCCACTCATCTCTCTCTGTATTCCTCAGTGCACTGCTCCTCATTTGCATGACAGTTGAGAAATATATTGGCAAAGCAGCGAGACAAAGGCTCCCACTGTCTTTAATTGTGTCCTCTTTTCTCTCTTTCAGTGCCCCTCAGATAACAACATGTTTCAGTCATCAGTGTGCATCAGACACGCTGTAGCCAAAGCTGTGTCCAGAATTGAATCACATTAACTGAACAATACTCGTAACAAAAGCCAACATAGATTCAATTAAAAGTTGCAATAAGGGACAATTTGCCCCAAATCAAAAATACATACTCTTCAGCCAAATTTATTTTTTGGCACTTTGAGCACCATCTCGGAGTGCCATCTAATTCCATTATATTGGAGAGAAGACAGACAGCTATATGGGCAATATCTCTGGGAACTCAGACCGTAACAATCTAAATGGATAAATAGCACCACAGGGGAAATGCTCCATAGAGCCGAGGGAAAACTGCTGAGTGGAAAGTGATTCCTTTCACATTCTAAATCATTGTTGATATCAAACATATTGATTAGTACAGCTAGCTTTAATTTCAAAGCACTTTGAAAGATTCAAAGCTTGAAATAATATGGCTGCCAAAGTTTATAAAAAAAGAATACACACACACACACACACACACACACACACACACACACACACCAGGTTTCTCCTTTCAGCTATGATGCTTTCTTGGTTGCCATGGCAGCCAACGAGTATCTCTGGTGCCAGGCAGAATTGGGCTCTGATTGGTTAATCAGTATTCAGGCTGCGTGTCTGCTAGGCTGGATGCTGCTCTGCTCTGCCCTACCCCTGTTTGTGTGTGTGTGTGTGTGTGTGTGTGTGTGTGTGTGTGTGTGTGTGTGTGTGTGCATGTAAGTGAGTTTGTGCATGTTAGTGTGAGTGCATGTACTGGAGCGCCTGTTGTCTTTGATGATAATGAGGCAGACAGAAACAGGCTCTCAAGTGAGCTCTCAATGCCACCTCAAACACATCGCTCCAGAACAGGCATACATCTGTGCGTGTGTGTGTGCGTGTGTGCATTTGTGTCAGATAAGAGACCATAAATCCCAACTCGGTGCCGTTTTAATGAAATTAATCAAAAAGACAGGAAATCGAAACATTTTGCGCCATGTGATAACAAAATTTAATTTTGCTTTGCGGCTATAATTGGCTGCTTTTTAATAAGAGATTACTATTCAGCCATTTTGCTTTGTGCATAATGGAGTTTTACTTTAGCTGGTGGCAAAAGTGATCTCATTAATTGAGTCAAGGCACACTTCGTGGAGCCAAACAGGGCCGTAGCCAGTATTTAAGGGTCTCTATTTCACCAGAAGATACCAAACCACTTATGGGTTACTAAAGATTTTAACTCCCGAAAGTAGGTAATGTTTTTAACTCGGTTTGTCTCTCAGCGGGATTACGAAAAAGCTACTGGCCCGGTTTTCATGAAACTTGATAGAGGGT